TAAAGACCTATAGTAAACGTTTGACCTCTGTTATTGCCAACAAAGGTTATGTTACAAAGTATTGAGTTGTATTTTTGTTATTGACCAAATACTTATTTTCCACCCTGATTTACGAATAAATTCTTTACAAATCCTACCATGTGGATTCATGGATTTTTTTTTTTCCACATTCTGTCTCTCACAGTTGAAGTGTACCTCTGGTGCAAATTACTGACCTCTGTCATCATTTTAAGTGGGGGAACTTGCACAATCGGTGGCTGACTAAATACTTTTTTGCCCCACTGTAGAGATCTTATAAAGCAGTCTCAACACATAGACACCACCTGCTTATTTTTGTGTGATTTGTCAACAGGAAGATGTTTGTTGGAGGCCTCAGCTGGGACACGACTAAGAAGGACCTGAAAGATTACTTTTCAAAGTTTGGGGAAGTGGTAGACTGCACGTTAAAGCTGGACCCCATGACTGGACGGTCAAGGGGTTTTGGGTTTGTGCTCTTCAAAGAACCTGAAAGTGTTGATAAGGTATTATCCTGTTCACATAAGGGGATGTGTGTGGTTTTTTTTTTTTAATTACCAGTAAATTTGCTTTTCTAACAGACATGAACTTGCTGTGATTGTGCAGTTTCATGTCTGTGTGGGTGGCTTTTTTTTTTTCAGTTTTATTTAATGATTAGCAGAAAATTTTAATATTTGGCCTTTTTTGGCAATTTGGATTTAAATTAGAATGAATGTAACTATACTACTGCGCGGTTTATGAATACAACCTATAAAGTTTGAGCTCAATGATGCCCAAACAATCAAACATCCGTTCCGCTAAATCAAAATGAAAGATGAAATATTCACGTATGTACATTTTTGTCAATGGTCTATATTGCTTTACAGGTTGCCTCACAGAAAGAACATAAACTTAACGGGAAGGTGATTGACCCCAAAAAAGCCAAGGCCATGAAGAGCAAGGAGCCAGTAAAGAAGATCTTTGTTGGTGGTCTCTCTCCTGACACTCCTGAAGAGAAAGTCAGAGAGTATTTTGGTGCCTTCGGAGAGGTGAGTGACTTGTGAAAATTAGATTTTGTTTGATCTTTTCCCCCACTTGTTCTGTGTGGCTCTGCAGGGCTCCTATTTGCCCATTAAATTATGTCTTAATGTGAACAGGTGGAGTCCGTTGAGCTTCCCATGGAGAACAAAACAAACAAAAGGAGAGGCTTCTGTTTCATCACATTCAAGGAGGAGGAGCCAGTAAAGAAGATTATGGAAAAAAAGTACCACAATATTGGATTAAGCAAGGTACAGTCCTTTTCTTTTAGGTCCTATATTATGTGTTTTTATTTTTCAGAATTTCCCCCCTTTTTATATGTAGAAAAAAGTCTGCGATGCATATGTTGAAAAGCTGTATGTCTTCTCTCACTCAGTCTCTCCCTACCGTTCTGTCTCTATTACAAATAAATAAATGAAACATTAATACATTAATTTTAAAAAACCCCGTTAGTTTACCTGAACTGAGGCCACTCTCATTGTCTTATCAAAGCAGCCAGACTCCACTTATAAATTTTATAGCTGATCAACCTGTTGCTTTACTGCTGCATCAAAAGGTTCGTTTATGTGACTTTGGTGTTTTAACATGATAATTATGAATCAAACTAAGGTGTTAAACACCAGAGCCACACAGCAGCGACGTGACAGCAACTAAAGCAGCCCTGTTCTTTTCAAATGTAGATAATTTGGCTAACATAATTGTTAGCTTTGACTGTATACACAGTCAAAGCGTGTCAAAGCTCTGGGGAAAAAGAAATGCTGAGGATAGTGACTTTGTGGAATTATTACAGACAGATTAGTAACCTTTTAAAAAGTACTGTGTGGGTGTTACTTTATATGCTTCAGTGCACTTAAACTCATCTGGCTTTCTGTTAGCATTTACATCTGTTTGCTTCTTTTCTAATCTCTGTACTCATTCAAATTTACAATAACTGTGCACTCATGGGTATATTTTTTGGATTCTGTTGTAAGACAAGAGAACTACTTTGAAACATTGACTTTAATGTGGTCCATTACTAACGGAGAGCTGTTTACCAAGAGGCTGCTCCCCACCAATGAAATTTAGATTTTTGTAACTGCAGCACTTTGTTGGACAAACTTTGCATTTATATATGTGAAAAAGCAAAGATCGTGCAGGCAATTTGGCTGTATTTTAAAGTAAGAGTGGTGTGCAGGGAGAAAGTTGGAAGCTACAGTGTGTCTCATTCTGGTCTGTTTGACAGCAGTATAGTGTAAATGAGCTGGGCTGCTCCTATTGGCTGCTTCTAACTGTCACTCACAGACCCTTCTTTAAAGGGGCGGATGCACAACCAATCCTAATTTAATTTAAAGCTACAGACACTGAAATTGAAATGTGTGTGTATGTATATATACCTGCAAGAGGTATATATATATATATATATATATATATATATATATATATATATATATATAGATAGATAGATAGATAGATAGATAGATATATATGGAGAGATAGATAGATTTATGTATATATATATACATATAAAATGTGTACGAACATGGAAGACTTGTGTGAATTTGTGGTGAATTATGGGACCTTAATTTGACTTAATCTGGTAATTTCTTATAGTGTGAAATAAAAGTGGCGATGTCTAAGGAGCAGTACCAACAGCAGCAGTATTGGGGTGGCAGAGGAGGATATTCATCTAGGTCTCGGGGAAGAGGTGGTGAGTGTAGACTGTTTTGCATAACTTCTTGCAGGTAAAGATATTTATAAAGCTTACTTGTACAAACTGTGCAAAAAAGTGTTTTCTGTTCTTAAAGATAACAAAGCTTTCTCCTCTGCTAGGCTTATTATGTAAATGTGATGGTAAAACAGTAATTAAAAAACAAACAAACTAAAAACACACACATACAAAATTCTTAACTGTTTTACATTTCTGGGATGTAAATCACAAAATTAGCAGTTAAGTCTGCTCTCAATCTAACAGTCTGATTTAATAATAGAAGATGAGGTTTGACAGTTTCATTTTTAGTTTGAAACACAGGTCAGTTTATGTCAACTTGGTGTCTGTTTTTTGTTTCAGGCCCAAATCAAAATTGGAACCAGGGTTATGGCAACTACTGGAATCAAGGCTATGGAAATTATGGCAACTATGGTTACGGTAATCAAGGCTATGGAGGATATGGTGGCTATGATTACTCTGGTTACAACAACTATTATGGCTATGGTGACTACAACAGTGAGTATAGTTTTACGGCCAGTTTTTTTTCTACTTTTGAAACAATACAAACGTGTGAAATTTCCACTTTGTTCACATGTGCAGATCAATCTGGTGGTTATGGCAAGTCGCCACGACGTGGTGGTCACACGAACAGTTACAAGCCGTATTAATAGGGGAAACCCTCCTCTTGAAATAGGTATGTAATAGTACATATATACTTTTTTGCTTTTAAACTTAAAGTAGTTTTATATTTACTTTGATGTTTGGTAACATTATGCATAATTTCCTCCATAAATTTCTTTTTCTCAGCACCCTGAAGTGCTTTACAGTAGTGGTAACATAGAGGCTACGCTCTTGTGGCGATTATTTTAACAGCCGGCTTCTGCTGCCTCTTTTGCATCTTCTCTTTTTTTTTTAAACTGTAAAGTTAACAGGTAATGTACTGCTACTACAGTAAATGGATGCCAAAGTTAAGGATGTGCAAGGAAACAGAAGGAAGTATGTTGTCTCCTAACTCTGACATACCTTGTTTGTACCTGCCAGCGGAGCTTCCTTGCAGGCCATGAGCTGACTCCCAGATACTCTCAGGGCCCGCTCAATGCGGACCGGGTATGAGAAGCATACGCTCTCGAATGCTGCCATTTGGTATGGTCTTCCAACATCCTGTATCAGCATTTCTAAACTAAACAATATGGGACACGTCCAGCTTTGTCATCTTTCTTTCAATTTTTTAATTTCTTTGCAATTGTTTGTAATGTAAAACGTAAAATATACATATGTAATTGTCATTTTTTACAGGCCCTTACTCCCCCACAAGTAATAATTATAAATCTGAAAAAATAACTTTGTTTTTTAAAGGATACATACAGCTTTCTCTGGACTTTCCAGTTCCTAATGTTAATATATGCATCCCTAATCTTAATTAAAATGCTTGTTTCTTTATTTAGCTCTTGTAGCCAGTAGTCCATGAGCTAAAACCTGGTTCGTATTTGGACTCTACTGTGCTGGGGGATAAAGTGCTTTAATTTGTGTACATGTATTGTTCTGTTTTGTGTTACTCACAGCGATGGAAAAGGCTCCTCCTTTTGTTAATTTTCCTGTAACAAATTTTCCTCTTATAACCTTTGGTAAAATGAGAAGAATCAAAGTGTCACTACATCTCCAGAAAATTTGCATGTAATGCTTTCTTTAATGTGTATTTTTGACCAATCTGAACATTTCTTCCATTTAGTATTTTGGCTTTGACTTCTTCAATTTAATGCACTTCAAGATCTCTAGCTTAACTTTCTAACTTTTTATGTAATATGTTAAAATAATCAGTTTGGTTTTTTTCTTATAGTTTTTTTTATTACATTGGACATTATAAACACAGGGGATTCCTATTGTTTTGCAATCTTACCCTCTTTGTTTGTCTATAGCTGATTTATTGTTGTTTGTTTTTCATAGGTTTCAGAGTGATGAAAGTCTACCGTGCGCTGTTGGAGCGTTGGCCAGAGAGATGATGGCATCCAGCAAAGATTACTTAGCTAGTTGTAAGACAGTAATTGAAGAACACCGAGACCTACAGTACATTTTCTCTATACCTACTGGGTATTTCATTGTTATGCATTTATTTGGATTGCTGCAATGTTTGATCAGTTTGCTTTCCTCATCCCTTCGTTTTTTGTACTTATGTCCAAATGCTAACTTGTGAACCGCTTCATATATTCCATGACTGAAATGTAACATTGGTTGGAACAAATCACTCACATATTCAGTAATGTGGTAGCAAAGATACAAAATGTGTTATTACAATTCATTATCTTTATCATATTCATCAATCATATATTAAATATGTTATTACAGAGTTTGACAGTCATAAACATACAATATATATACAGTGTATTGGACATGAAGAAATGCGACAAATAAAAATAAACACATTTGAATTTCTGTTCCATTAATAGAGTGGTTTTATGTCACACACGTAAGACTGTTGGAGTGTTAAAGTATTTCAGCTAACTTCATATCACTTCAATCTCTGCTGCTCTCAATTTCTTTTTCACATTATGTTGTCACAAAATAACATAATCAACAATCATTAGCCCTTTAAATTTACATGTCTTTGCTTAAGCTGAAGTGATCACTTGCAAGAGTAATTCAAATGCCGGTAAGCGCCATGTTTGTAGCTTTCAGCCTTGAGTAGGTAAACGTGGAATTTATATAACTTTTGTGGCAGCAAGGATGATGAGGATGATGATGATCAGCACAATCACACCGATTAGGATCATCATTTTAACATTTTTCCACCAGTATTTTCTGGCCACCCTTGTGGATGTTCTCTGGAATGAGTCGGCCTGAAAAGAAAAAAAACTGCCAAATTAAACCCTGATATTTGAGGAAGCACATGTGTCGTTTAAAGACAAGCAATCTCCAGAAGCCCTATAAAGCATCAACCATTTGCAAGCTTTAGAGATGAACACGAAGGTTTCTGATTGAGTGATTACAAAGTGATGAAGAATGATGAATGGATAATTAAAACAGGGACCCTAAAATACTAGAAGAACAAACTGAGTTTTTGTTTCCCAAGGATGGTTACATGTATTGCAAAGATGTAAATGTGCATGAAATACTGAAATATTAAGTATCTAGTGAGAACAAGTTACCATACATATATAAATAATTGAGATGAAATAGATACTAAACTAAAGGGGTGACCGCAGTAGTGTATAACTGTTTAAACATCCTAGCTAAAAGTAACAATAAAACATTTAAAAGTGGGTGAGCGGTAAAAAAGAAATGTAGTTGAATAGCTGAAACAGGTAGCAATGTGTGGGTTATTTTACAAATTTGGTCTGTAAATGAAAGCAAAAGAAAACAAAGGTTTATAGGGGAACTGGAAACTGCTAGGGACGTTTCCCTAATCAGACAACAAACTGTAAAGGTTAGGAAACTGCTTTAGTGTCAAATAAGGCATTTTATTATGACTATATGTATCAGGAGCAGGATTTTCTTTTTAAATCTCAACCCGTCTAGTTACAAACATACCATACTATCCCCAGAAATCATGAAATCACTCAAAGTATCTGAAAGCTTTACTTTATGAACAAAAAGCATAAATATGCTTTGTAGCACAGCTAAACATAATATCTTCATATATGATAAAAGATAAAATGGATTCAAGCTTCTTCCTAAAAGGCCCACGATCGGATACTTACAGACGCCTGCAGGTCATCCGTCTTGCCAATCAGATCATCTAATCTGTCGCCTCTCTCCAGCACTTTGTTGATGTTGTCTGTCAGAATAACTTTAACCTCATTTACCTGACCTTGCACTTGGTCAAGCTTAGAGGCCGGAACAGCGGGAGTTGGCTGAGAATGTTGGTCAGCCTGTGAAAAATGGTGGAAATTGATTCACTTTTAGTGCTGTTGGTCCCTTATCCAAACATTTACTACCATGTGTATGCCACTACAGGTCTGCCGGGCAAATGGCGGTGCTACAGTCCCTGTATAAGTTATTTCTAAGAACCAAACCTTACTTCCTGCAACTGTGCTAACAGGAAAAAGTGCTGTCAAGTGTCAGTAAGTTTACCAAGGCCTGTGTCACTGCCAGATGAGCACCATTGTCACAAAGTAAATTTTACTTTCAAAATTTTGATACGGGATTGTTCAATAATGTCAAGATTGACATCAAGTCACCCTCAGTCATCAATAGAAGAGCAGTATATTAGGCAAAAATGAAGTTATAGTCTAAAAATAACATCGACTTACCATAGCAACACTGTTTCCTGGTCAAAACAGCAAAATCCAGCTTCGAACAAAAAAAGGAAATCTTCAGACGAGTTCAGTCCAACTAATTTAATAAACAAACATAGAGATCTGTGTTTCGGGTCATACAGCAAAAGCTGGACAAACGTTTCCTGAAGGTTGCACCTCTTCACAGTTACTTATTAACTAACAGTTGCCGCAATCAAAGTCTCACTGTTTTACCAGAACAAGTCGCCATCACCAGAGAGAACTAAATTTAGTCGAACATGAACATGCAGTACTTTCATTTCCTGCTTTTGAGGAACTAGGCCGCTATATGATCACTACATAAGAGCAAAAACAGCCACCCTGTTTAGTTATTACAGACAAAGAAGATTGAAGTTAAGCTGGTAAATAAGTGTCTACTGGTTTTAGTTCTGTGTGGTTTACATACCATCAGCTGTCAGAGTGGTAAATGCAGGCCAGTGTTGAGCTGATATGTCTGGGCAAAGTACTCTGTGTTTGCGGCAGAGGGATATTTGCAAGGCAATAAAGGGGTGTATTCACTCGGCTGCTCCACTTCATTTCCTCATCCTGTGTTGTGCAGTTTGTTATTTCACCAGTGTAGCAGCCCACACATGACAGTTTCAAAGTTCTGTTGTGAAATTATGCTTCATTCTAACATATTCAAGCGTCGGTTTAGTGCAGGTTAGCCCCTTTTTATGTAATTACTAGAAAACTTTTGAAAATATGTTATATAAAACAGGTCACAAGACGCACTATTTACCAGTGTCTGTAAGCTGTCTCATCAATGTATCATATCTATTTCTGGTCATTTTTGCATGGCCTTTGCCTTTTTAAATCGTCTTCGGTGATTCAGAAATAAAGCTGCAATATGGGATACAAGTTGAATATTATTTTAACAATATAACCGTTAGATTAACACAGTGGGTTAGCCTGCGGGGCCTGGATATGTTATGTGTGTAGGTTTTGTATGTCTTGTTTTCACACCAAATTGTGCTTCATTTACAGTTTTTTTTTTTTTTTGCTGTTTCAGCTTTCTTCCCCCACAGTGCAACACAGTAGTGTTTGTGTGCATGTGTGTTCATTTGTGTGTCATTTTTCTGCTGAAAGGACAAGGAATAACTGAAGATTGTGTAGCAGTCAAAGAAAAATAAAGCATTAGTAACACATAAATACTGAAGCCATTCAACCATTAATTCTATTTACTGAGCTCAGGATGTACTTCTCTAATAAAGAGGATCTAGGTGTGAGTTGTGGGAACTGATCATTGAGAGGGAGAATGCTTGCCAAATACTAACAGTAGCTGTGGATTACTGAAGTGGAAATAATAAAGACAAATCTTTAAGTGTGCATCAATGCTGGCTTGCTTGAAGTCACTGGTACAAAAAAGGTAGCCTTAGGCTGAAAGGGAGAGGACAGATACAGGTTGGTTACTTGCCAGATGAAGTAATGGGTAGGACTGCAAACTGAGGGGTAAAGGGAAGCAGGTGTGTGAATGGGTGTGGCTACAGATCATGGGTTAGTGCAGATAAGTGAATCAGGTGACTGGGTGAGGAGCAAAGTCTGATGGCATCTGGTGGACAGATGGAGAAGCTAAAAAAGTGAATACTGAACAGCTAAATCACAGAAGAAACTAATATTACAAGTCTTTGCATCACTAAACATTATGTTTCTTTTCTTTAATATGAAGCATTAAAAAAAGTTGTATCCATGGTCTTAATAGGCTTATCCAGCTACAATCACAATGCAAGCAAGTATTCATAATTAGTTGAGTTACACACAGTAAGAGATTTGAGTAAATTGCCTCTGTGTATTTCTCTTTGGAGCGCATGCTTTTATAGAACCAGTGTTTTGTCTGTAGTTTTATTATTACATGATGAACAATTAATCTAGAAAACGTGGCTCTAGAAAACTTTACATTGGGGGCAAAGAGGTCTAGGCAGTGTCGCACATGTCTCTTCAGTGAAGTAGTAAAAATCCCCTTTATGCAAGTGGAGTCAACAAAATATCCACAAAAACACTTTAAAACGATTTATTCTAATATAATCTCTTCTAAGAAAACAAACCCGATTTTTTAGGTAGGTAAGTTAAAACAGTTAGTTTTTTAAAGTAACTTTTAAGGACATAAAACTGTAAGTGGGGGGTGGGTTCAGCTGGTGGGCACCTGTAGATCCGCCCCTGCCCTGTTAAGTGGCTCAGTCTAAATATATTCCATATAATTTTAGAAGCTGGGAATGTGTTTTCTAGAAAAGTCTTCATTTGTTAGCCCAAAGCTGTGAGATACATGGAGTGGGAGTGACAAGTTCAATATAAAAAAGAAAATGCATCCCAACAGTGCCATCTTGAGGCTGCCCGAGCTTGCAAACATTCCTTCTTCAGCCATTACAGCTGTTTGCAGATCCTGAAACGGAAATTACTTCTACGGTGTGCTGATGTATCGTGTTTTCCTGCACGACTACTGATGAAAGGTTTCATCAGTTGCTTTCTGGAGTTTCTAAATCACAGTTATCTTCAACCTTCAGAGTTAATCATTGCTTTATATAATCGGCGCCGGCGAACATCACAGGCAGCTTTCACTTTATAAAGCAAACCTACATCGGTACGATTGCCCTTTGCTTCATTTTGACCCGCTGAATTCAACTTTTCTGCAGCGACTGTCGACGAGCAGAAGATGAACCAAGGTAGCGGAACCCGCAGCGGGAAGACTTTCCTGTTCACGTCGGAGTCTGTTGGAGAAGGACACTCCGGTAGGCTAGTGCTGTACTCATGTCTCACAGTGTAACGAACAATGTCCAGCTAGACATTCACACATGGATGTATCAGAGACACTTGGACATGTCTGGACATGCACACATACATTGTCTGTCCTTGTAACTCACCACAGCCGTGATGTTAGCAAACTACACAAGTGTATGGAAGATCATTTTACTCAAAACTGATATTGGGGGCAAATAATGATGGTCAATTAACACTTCAGTTATTTCCGTTAAATGAGAATATGAATGTTAAAATATTCAAAAATTTATTTTTGCGGCAGAATAATTAAATGTTATATCCTAAATTCAATTTTTTTTAAATATAAATAAAATGAGAACCTTAAATAATTAAGATGTTTTTTATAACTAACACTAGAGCGTGAAATATAATTTAAACCAAAATTGAAATTAAATATGCAAATTGCCAAAAATGTGACATAAAAATTTATTTAAAGTAGTTTTAATATTTAAACAAGATTGAAGCTTCAATACTAAACATACTTTAAACATCTTTGAAAAGAAAGCATGATAATCTCAAAAGGTGGGAGGAGAAAAATATTTATTGGAAAAGTTCAGCATTTTAGAAAATATGTTAAGTGGTTTTCTTGGTATGATTAAGTATACAATTATGATGCAAACTAAGTAGCTTGTAGAATCGCCTTTATTAGTAGTGACTTGAAATAATCTATGACTTAATTTTTCATCATTGTGGAGGAATTTTGACCCACACTTCTTTAATACATCGCTTAGTAAAAATAAACATTGTATGCACACGGGTGTTCACTGCTCGTAGACCCAAATTACACCTTTCTTGGCTGCTACTTCGAAGCACATCTGTCCTGCGTGCTGCACAACAACATTGAATATTTAGTATTTACTGCTGTTTACACTTAGCTAGATTAATGCGATGGTGTTGTGTTTAGTATGTTGCTTTGTTTTGGGGTTTTTTTTGTCTTTTTTTGCTTGTTTTCTATTCTTCTCTCAACAGGTGATCCAGGAGATTTTTATTTTTTTTCTCCCCCCCTTTCTCACTGTCCCTCTCCCCTTCTGTTTTTCCTTTCCTTCCTCTTTCTTTCTCCCTTTCCTATCTCTCACTCATGTCTGTCCCGTCTGTAACATCTGAAAATAAAATATAATAAATAATAAAAACAAAGATCGACCAAATGGACCAATACGGCAATGCCACGATGATCCATTTGGCAAAGTAAATCCATTGGGTATCCTTGTTGGTCTTCAGACAACAATTCTGATGGCTAAAGAACCAAATGGGACAGGCGAAATATAAAAAAAAAAAAGTAAAAATAAACATTGTTATCATATTTTATATATTATTATCCTTCTACAACATATCAGGATTCAAATTGAATACAAATCTGCAGAATGTATTTATTTTATTTCACTTTACTTTATTGTTGCCCAATTAGAATTTTTTACATACTGATTTTGTGTTCACAGATAAAATGTGTGATCAGATTAGTGATGCTGTGCTCGATGCGTACCTAAGTCAAGACCCTGACTCTAAAGTGGCCTGTGGTAAGTTTCCAGTTTTATTAGATTGCCGTGATAACGTTTTCACTACTTAGTAAGATTTCCGTCAGGAATTCAACACAGAAATTCCAAATCATCTGCTATTGTTATGTGAACGATGAGAGTTGTTGGTGGAGTATGGAGCATGGATCGTGGTGTGTCAGAACTAATAGTACTAACAGATCTTTAGAGTGAATAAAGTTCAATTAGTTTTGAATGTAGCTGCAAAGGTAGGCTAATTTGGTAACTAATAATTAAACAGTGTTTGCCTTTTAGATCAAAGTTCAGGTCAGCATTTTTCTTCTGGGTTCCTCTTGGATGACGAAATAAATGCAGTTTCAGATAACAAACCATCTTCTTCCTCTCTTCCTGAGACTCGCTCACAGTATTCGTTTCAATTTTTTACAGAATGTGTGGCAAAGACTGGCATGATTTTACTAGTTGGAGAAGTAACATCCAAAGCCACGGTAGACCTCCAGACAGTCGTGCGAAACACCGTTAAGAAGATTGGCTATGATGACTCCTCAAAAGGTAAACTATGGATGAAATTGGTATTCTTTTGATTACGTGGTTTTACAGAAAGTCAGAGTCAAAGAGTGTTGCTGATATTTTTTCAACTGTGATGTGCAGGCTTTGACTACAAGACCTGCAATGTACTAGTGGCTCTGGAGCCGCAGTGTGCGGAGATCTCAGACTGTGTGTTCGAAGGCAGGGATCAGGAGGATATTGGTGCAGGGGACCAGGTTCAGTATTTGATTTTCAGCCACCATGTTTGAATAAGTATTTTGGAGTTGGGGCTAGGATTAGGAGGCCAATAATAAACACATTAATCCTTTTTTTATGTTTTTGGTTCAGCAGCAAAGGCATAGGAAATTCATAAATCAACAATTTTGTAATTTAAAGATGAAAATATTGAAAAAAGTCATAATTCTGATTGTAACTCTTTTGACATTCAAATACTGAAAACTACCCATAAGAAACGACGTCACAACTTTCATACATATTTTTGTGTAACTCTTACTGTCTCTGATCTCTTTAATGAAGTAGAACTATTTCTTCCCAAGTAAATTATTATTTACATTTTTTTGCTATAATATTCATAAAAGATTAATGTGTGTGTGTGTGTGTGTGTGTGTGTGTGTGTGTGTGTGTGTGTATATCATGTAACCACAAGGAATTTCCAGTTTTTCAGAAATCGTGAATAAACTGATGATTGGCGCTACTCCCTCGCCTCCCTTTAGAATTTTTAAATGGTGTATTCACCGAAGGACTGTTTGAAAAACTTGATTTTTAGCACTAAATAAAAAATATGGGAAAAGGGGGTCAAGGCATTACCTTCACTACAGGGTTTCATTTACTTGGAATGACTGTGTAAGCTTATTTGTTGAGATATTCAAGTGGCAAACCAAGCAACAACTTATTTGCAAAACACTTCATATTTTTCAGAGACATAATTTGTAAATATTTGCAATTAAAGATTTAAATACAAACCGTTATGTAACTGGCCTTTCACCCTTAAGGGCTTGATGTTTGGCTATGCCACGGATGAGACTGAGGAGTGCATGCCGTTGACCCTGCTTCTGGCTCATAAACTAAACTACAGGATGAAGGAGCTGTCGCGGAATGGAGACTGTCCTTGGATACAGCCAGACTCCAAATCACAGGTAAGCTTTTTCACAAGGAAAATCTTGCACACTTCATCTTTTTTGTGTTTTTCCTTTAATATTATGGATGAAACTATACCCTCTCTGCTTTTTGGTTTCTCTTCTGTAGGTCACCGTGGAGTATCGAGACAACATGGGAGCCATGGAGCCCCTGCGTGTCCACACTGTGGTGATCTCAGTACAGCACAGTCCTGACATCACCCTGGAGGAGATCAGATGCAACCTAATGGAGAAGGTGGTGAAGGCTGTCATTCCTGCCAAGTACCTGGATGATAACACCATCTACCATCTGCTGCCGAGTGGGAAATTCCTTTTTGGGGGTCCACAGGTTAGGAATGACTAAAGCCTGTAGTAAATTGTGATTTTCATCCGATGTGAGGGCATGAATGATATGCCTTTGACGTTTTTTATACATCAACAGGGAGATGCGGGACTCACAGGACGTAAAATCATAGTGGATACCTACGGAGGATGGGGTGGGCACGGAGGAGGGGCTTTCTCTGGAAAGGACTATTCCAAAGTAGATCGGTCTGGAGCTTATGCAGCACGTTGGGTAGCCAAGTCACTTGTCAAGGCTGGACTGTGCAGGCGAGCTCTCGTTCAGGTGACAATCGAATGGCATTAAGGGGATCAACGTGTAAAGAAAGTATTTCACTCTTTATTCGCATCACTGTTTTTGTGTCTAACGTGTGATAATTGGTGTCCACTCTGCCATGCTCTTAAGATCTCCTATGCTATTGGTGTGAGCCATCCACTCTCCATCTCAGTGTTTCACTACGGCACATCTAACAGAGACGAAGACGAGCTGCTGCAGATCGTACAGAAGAACTTTGATCTGAGGCCTGGAGTGATTGTGAAGTATGTGCAGTTTGTCCTAGTTGCATCTGATAAAGATAAGAGATTCTTTTATTAACAGTGTAGCACTTCGCTTTTACAGAGAGCTGGGACTGAAGAAGCCAATTTACCAGGCCACTGCCTGCTACGGTCATTTTGGCAGGAAGGAGTTCCCTTGGGAAAAGCCGAAGACTCTGGTGTTTTGAGTTTAGTGTTGAGTGTTTTCTAGTTGTGTCCTAGTAAAGTCCGCTTAGTGTCACATAATCAATAATGTCTAAATTCACCTGTTTAAATGTCTTCTCTCTGTTTAAGTGTCTCCTCATTTCTGGCTTCAAACTGCAAAAGCCGTGGCCACCACCTTTTATAACAAAGATTAATTACTATTTTTTTAATTAGAAAAAAGCAACACATTGATGTATTGTTGTATGATGGTTACTGTAAAACATCTGAAGATAAGTGTCACTTTTATACACACTGTCAAAATTCAGAATCTATATCTGTACTATACATTTATTGATTAAAAGGCTGCAATAAAAACAGACTTTTATTATAATATCATGTAACACTAATACACTAATTTGAAATACTTCAAAGATGGAGTGACCAATAAAGTATGATCTGTATCATGTAACCACCCACAAATATATACAGATACTAACCAGTCTACATATTCACTCTAAAAAAATATTGCTTTGGCTCTACCAAGTGGACATGAACATCCATCTACTTTTTCCACTTACCCAACTCCAGGTGAACTTATCCCCGACATAGGGAGACAGCCATTCACAGTCCCATTAACACCTATGTGCACGTCTTTGGACTGTAAGAGGAAGCTCGAGAAAGCATGTAGGGAAGAGGGTGAACATGCAAACTCTACACAGGAAGGCCCCAGCTGGCTCCTGGAGTCAAACCAGAACCTTCTTACTTCTTACTTAGTCCACAGTACCAACTGCCGAGCTGTCCTGGTTATGAACAGTCAAACAATCGTTTTGAGATGCATGGTGAGAACAAACAGTACACTGGCAAGGAGACGTTTATTATACCCGTTGCTAAATTCCACGAATGGACTGATAGTGATGTTCTGCAGATGCCATGCCTGGAGATGGCGCTGTTGCATCATGTGTGTGGTGGATTGACCCTTTGGCCTTGTAGCCACTCTGCTTGGTGAGTAATGTCCCCCAGAGGACATTCTTCTTGTTGATGCAAAAACATGACATACACCCACAGAGTGAACACTTACATCGGGTGTTTCCATGAAAGTGCAGCGCACAGAGAGATGAATAATACCACCATGTTGTCAGATTTCAGTCCAGAGGGGGAGTGAGTTGGAAATGTGGGGAAAAGAGAAATACATTCATTTAGTGATACTGACTTTTAAGTTCATGCAAAACGCCCTACATTTTACCATGCAGCTAAAGAACAGCCAGTTTGCAGCAAACTGGATGAATTTAATGGTTGGGAAGTGTAAAAGCTGAAACTTGTGTTTTTTATGATCACTGTGCCAAAAAGTATGTGAAAGGAAATCAGTCCAGCGAGGTGTGCAGAGGCATGAAGCAGCCACTCTGTCCTCAAGTACAGCCTTGTTTATCTAATGTGTCATCCATGCTAATGGAGAGAACAGGAGGATACTGGGTAACTCGTTATATTAAACCTTTTAAAACAATTAGACTATCATATTTAAAGGAACATAAATCACAATCTTAATATTCTGTAAATGTTAGCTTAAAAATCACAGAAATATGTCCTCTTGTAAAACAATTTATCTGAAAAGGACATCTTTATCTTTATATCGTCAATACAAAATTATACAATATTTATAATCATGGAGCTAAATTAATTTGCTGAAATCTAGATTTACATATATTGGATTTATTTATTTAGTAGTTTTTTGTTAGACAGAAGGACATAAAAACACTAACAGTTGCAATAAGCCAGGTTTTATGCATTGTGTAAACAGCTGATTCTACCTCATTGCAACATGAGAATTTTGCATAACACACTCTAAATACAGTGTTTAACTTTTCTTTTTATACTAAAAATTTATAATTAATCTTTTGCACTCAGTTTTTAGCTGTGTTGAAACATTAAACTAACAGGTATTGGTAATATGACTGTATTTAGCATTTGTGGTATTATTTTGTCACAAGATTTTTTACTATTGAGTTTAGTTCAGTGGTATATGCTTAAATCATTTTATTTCTGTTAAATCACTAACAAAAATCCTATTCAGTATATAAAAAACATTTATTGTATTTTGTATTATACTGTAAATGGTTTTTAGTCTAAACCTTAATAGTGGAAGTACTATATTGGTAAAGGTTACACTCACATGTGCAAAAGAATTCTTGTGATTTCCCTTTGATATATTTCAGAGGTGTTAAAACGACCGACTTTAGCCTTTATGCACCTATAACACCTTATAGCATTTTTCATTTAATTTCATAGCAATAACATCTAATTTGTATCCACAGCACTTGAATATTACTGACACTTTATTTGGCACATCTTGCTAATACTCTTTTACTCTAATACGCTTTTTATTTTTAGAGGTGGCCATCTGATGTTGGTCCATGTTGACATGATAACATCACTCATTTGCTGCAGATTGTGCCAGTGGATCAGCCATGCTGTGTTCAGAGTCACTTAAATCACCATTCTTCCTCATTCTGCTGTTTGATTAGAACTTGACCATGGTTGCATACCTGAATGTGTTGCTTTCATATGATTGAGTCATTAATATTTGCATTAACAAGGAGCTGAACAAGTATACCTTATATAGTGAGTATACAAAGAGCTTACATTTCTAATCAAGATCATGTCAACACTTATTAATGCCACTGATTCTATGAACATCCTTTAAGTTGTAATTTCAGACTGCTTTCTGTATAAATCAGCTTCCACACACTTCACATATTTTCCAGGCATTTCTCAAACGCATGAACAAATGAAATGGAACAAACGCATTTCATTTTTGCAGCAGCTGAAGATAATGTATTTTAAAAAGAAAGACCTACACTGTGCTTTTATTATGAAATCTCACCTTCGTTATCACATTTTACCACTCCGTCCTTCTTAACAAGAGAGACACATTTGTGTGAGACTTACTCTGTCAAAGAAATTATTCATAGTTTTCAATCAGCAGTTCGTCAGTGTTTAACAGTAATTGAATTTTGATATGGGGGCAATTATTCATCATTTAAGGTTATTTGCATTAATTTGGAATATTAATGGGTTCTTTCGGGGTGAAAGAGGAGATGAGTATTTGGTCACAGAGGAGCTACACCACTCCAGGCAGCACATGGGAGAAGTTTGCCTTAAATTCTTTCTATCAGACAGGTTCTGTAAGACGTGATTAATTATGTTAAAAAGTTGTTGTTGTTTTTTTAACCTGAGCTGTTGTCATTTTCTAACCCTAACTAAACTGAAATATAAAATATATTTTAAAACCCCGAAGGCTAAGTTCTCCTTGCCTTCAGGTCCAGGTCACTCAACACTGCTACTATCTGCAGATTGTTTTTCCTTGAAAATAATTATTCAGAAAATTAAGTCTTTCTGGGAACAGGCCCAGAAGAGCTTAAGAAAATCATTCAGTGTTTCTCGATATCTTCTCAGAATTAGAATTCATTATTTATTTATTTTTATAAAATGTTCTGGATATTTTCCTCCAATGAAGGACATATATGTTGTCATAGTTACCATTTCCTTTAAGCTCATGCTCAATGATTGCTCAGCATCTACAAGATGACCTGCTATTATTATTATTATTTTTTTTAAATAACAAAATTTGTGTCTCTGTTGCATAGGCAGTGGTTTGAGGCCTGGCTGTGGTTTCTCCAGATAGTCACTTTGTGTTCTTTAAATTGGTCAATAATGACCAGGAGCTGGACCTCCTCACCGTGTTTTATCTAAAAACAGACATAGCCGTTATAGCATCCCGCACAGGATTTTGAGCTTCCGTTTTTGAACTATAGACTGCATTTTAATATGACGCTCTACTGGGTTTGACTGACTTTTGAAGCAGCCTCAAGTGGCACCCAGAGGAACTGCAGCTTTTCACAGTACTTCTGCCTTGGTTTAATCTTTCAGCTTTGCAGTTTCCCCTTGAATAAGCTGAGTCTCGCTTAGTGGTTATAACAAAAGTTAAATGCTTTTCAGCATTCGGTTTTGCGTTACTGAATTCATAATAGTAGTAATTTTTAATTCCAGCCCCACTAATACTAACATTTGCATTCAGCACAGAGGTATGTTTTGAGTTTTGCAGAAAACTTAGCATGGCTGTAGACTCTTCCCTTCTTTTTCGATTTCCCTCCAAGTAGCAGATGATAAGAGGTAATCCTATGGTGCTACATTTTCCCCTCAAATTTCAAGTGTAATGAGATTTTTCGGACTGGGCACACAGCAAGGTTACAGTATAAGGACAGCAGCTGTGAGGGTGTGAGATAAGAACAGATTGGCTTGGTGATAGAAGAGACGAGACGGTTTCAGTCTGGAATAGCTGATTTTCTGATTCAGAGCTCAGAGCTCTTTGATTGTTTTGACAACCTGCTAAGATATTCAGGAGAAGGACCGCTACAGCTCATGAAATTTGCAGATCCTGATTGACTGTAGGATATTTTCATAGAGGCCATCCATATGTATGGTGCGTGTGTGCGTGTGTGCGTGTGTGTGTGTGTGTGTGTGTGTGTGTGTGTGTGTGTGTGTGTGTGTGTGTTGGCATATGTGGACCGGTTTAAGCTGAGCTGGATTTCTTTCTCAGCTGGTCTCTTATAGGATTTTCAAAAGGATGGGAAGACTTCTCCATCCATCTCTCTCTCACACACATTAAGCAGACACACAGATTTTGTATATTTTTTTTAAAGACCCCTCTGTCTGGTTATACTTGACTTTACTTGGTCTTTGCACATTGTGACAAGACGCCAGAGGCTTTTCTACGAGTGTGAATTTGCTTAATTGACCACACAGGGCTCTAGTAGGATTCTATAGAAGCCAGGAAGCCATGAGTTCCAGTATCCAAATACCACCACAGTAGCTCACAAAATGAAAATATAAGTTTAAAAGTTAACATTGTGGCAAATTTATTGCAAAGCCAGCCAAATATCACCCCCCCCCCCCAAACAAACAAAATACAACAGAAAAACCCTGTAAACATAACATTGATTAAGAGATAATTGTTAATACCACTTTATTAAGGTAAACATCTTAGCAAATAATTGTATTTTTATACTTGCAGTAGTTTATGTCTAATAGTCAGAGAAGCACTTAAATAGCACTACAGAAGAAGTGCAAGCATACAGGGAGTAACATTTTTAAAGTTGAAAGGTAATTTCAAATGCAAAATGTCTAATTGATCAGCAAATTTCGGCAAACACACTACACAAACACAATGTGTGCAGTTTGTCACACATCATGTCTGCTAGCTAAAGTTATGGCTGCTGTTGTTTCCCAGGGAGAAAAAAGAATCCGAGGTTTCTAAATATAAAGAAAGACAGAAGAGGAGAAGAAAAGAGGAAATTATTTTTAAAGGTAAACACCCTTCA